CCCCCCCCCCCCCCCCCGCCTCTGACTTCTTACAAATACCTGTTCTTATTATTGAAAATCAATGTGAAGAACGAGTTGAATAATGAATTGAGAACGTGATGTTTTTAAACATCGTGTTATCCGGACTCCCATATCCACTTGAAACTAATATATTCAAATTAACATTGTTGTTTCGTATACAAAACGATCATTGTTTCGTATATAAGTAATGACATATAATTTTGAAAGAATGTCGTTGAGAGAATTTTATCATCTTGAATTTCAACAATTGCTCGCTGAACCGAATATAAAATGTATTGATGTGTGAGTAACTTACCTTCGTTTAACGCCATGCAATCGCCATGTTTGAGAATTAACATGTCAGAAATAAAGGTATATCGAAAAAATTATTTTTGGAATGAAAACTTGGAACTAAAAAATTTGCTACATATCTCGAATTTTACACACTCGAAAAAGTTAACGATCATTTATACACAAGCAATGATATACAATTTTATCAGGAGAATTTCAAATTCTTGAATTTCAACAATGTCATAATTTTACTGGAATAATAGACTCTCGTAATGATCGTCTCGATGATTTACTTGACATAACAAGTCCTCTATTTGCGTTAAGTACACGTATTATTGAGCAAGCAAAACACACATGGCGGCAATTAAATCACCTGCTTGCATTTACTAAACATTTCGTTGATTCCATTCTAATCAAATTATGATTCGGCGTACCAAATTCTTGTTTGGACAACAGAATCCTCTTTTCGATGTATCTTCCAAACAAGAATATCCTCTTTCGCTGTGTAGCGAATAACAAAAGGGAAACAGAAAAAAATGAAACAGCGACACCGACAATAGCTGACGAATGACGGAAAAATTCGTGTCGAGTGTGCGCTAAATGGCGCACGTATATCCGCGATCGAAGCCCGACGATGTGCGTACGCGTCGCCGATCGAAAGTATCGCCGTCGTGACACACACATGACACGTTAATAAAGCTAACGTCGCCTCGCGAGAGTGATGTATTCACATTAGTGTCTCGGTGCGCCGTAATGACATAATCATTGTCATCAAAAATCGCGCGAGAGCGAGCAGAATTGGCCGACGCTTTAATAAGGACGATATTGAATTACCTAGTTCTGCGCGAATCCTAAAATGACTCATTTAATTTGCGACGGCGTCGCGACGCCGGTATGCCCCGATTCTGTCAATCTTCCTCCGGCTTCGCTTTAAATATAATATAAATGTATACGTATGTATCATGCATGTGCGCTCCCTCACACACGCGCATGCAGTCTCGCGTCATATATGCGCGAGAACGGCCGCACGCGCATCCCGCGTGCGTGTCTGTGTGTGCGCGCGAGATCGGTTAAAAATAAAATATGCAGACCGGATAAATATTAAGTGCCGTTGACAGGTAAATCGCGTGCGTTCGATTTCCAGCGGGATGAAAATATTTCTCGGCGCCGGTCATTAGTCGCGCAATCGAAATCCGTCACGGCCCACGTGAAATTCAGAGCGCCGTGACGTCGTTTCTGGCGCGCCGCGAATCGGCTGAGCTATCGCGAGCAGTATTTTTCCGATCGAAGGGATGCCGACCTCTCGCCGATCTCGTCGCCTGTTCTAGCGCGAACATCTGGACAGGTGCCGAAACAGTCGGACAATTTTCAAATCCCCACGAGCTGATCGATATCACGTGTCCGCGGAGTTCTCGCGCGCTAAGATCTAAGGGAACCGCCCGTAATGAGAGAAGAAAGATGTAAAAAGTAGTAAATTTTTATTTGATGGGTGCAAGTACATACTGAAAAAAAGATTTTCTTGTTGAAACGAACACGTGATATCAAACTTTGGTTAAAATCAATCAAGCATTTGGTAATTGCAACCAAATAATTTAATAGGCCATTTGTATGTTTTGCTCTTTAATATATCCTACTCGACGCAAGTAAGAAGTAATGACAAGCAAATTCTATGTACTAAATATTTGAATTCCAAATACAAAAATAATTTTTTCACTGTGACGTATTTGTTCCAATCCAAATTCTTTTCTTTTAGTGAAACAAACAAATGCTTTTGTGAGGAAATCTAAGGTTTTCTCAAAACTTGAAGAAAATGTACTCTCTAAAGTGTAATCAGCGTATTTTTTGCTGAAATTCTGTATGCATAACTGATGGTTATAATAATACAATGTAGTACTGCAATCAGTGAAATATCACTGAAAAAAAAAACAGTTAATAGTAGTGACTGTTTCTATTATTGATTCAGTCGGCAAATACAGACAGTGTCGTTGCACGCAAAATCGCATGGAAACCGGTGATTCCATCGCCAGAAAGTTGGATTTGATACAGCGTGTAACGATTTTGTAGCGTACAGATTTTGCAGTGGAATCTTTCTTCCACACAATCAGTGAAATATAAGACGAAGCGGTAAGAGTATTTTCACTGAAAATCAGAAAAAAATATTCACAGAATATTCATTGATTATCAGTGAAGTGCTCCATTTACTGATTTAATTTGTATGCTACGATATTTTTATCGACTTACTTTGAGAAAGTATATTTTCTTGTTTAAAAAATACTTTGTATTAGTACAAATAAATATGTTATTAATGTGAATAAATAGTTCGTGCTTCTTAGATATTTCTTCTTTCAGTGCAAACAGCACAGTTTGCCAAAAGATGTCTTGAAGACGTCTAAAAGATATCCGAAAAAAGTAGAATGTTTTTAAGACATTTTTCAATAATTCATGCTGTCTGGGCGATTAACGTTCATTTCACCGTCGTATGTCGAGGTAGTAGACACAATTCTGTAAAAGAGATCCGCGCGATAGCCCGAGGATACGGTCGGACTTGTTGTCGGAAACTCATGTTTTCGACCGGAATCATGAACGGTGATATAGATCTCACCCTTCGAACGAAATGTACGTTTTGTTTCCGCGATACGATAACGCGACATGGGCATACTTTTTTGCACATACGTGTTATCGCGCTTGTTATCATGATATGGAATTTGCCACAGGCAGCGATGATATATTGTCAGCTAATGTTTGATTTGTCGCGGGAACAAAAGCCGGACTCGGTAGAGGATTTCAGACACTCGAGAGCAAGTAAATTTACAAAAGATTCACGTCATACGCACATATATTCCGATTGATTCTTGGAAATCGGCGATCCCTTGTCTTCAATCCTTTTATTTCAGTTGTGAAATTCAAACGAACGAGCGACGACGATGTGTGCGCGTAGATAAAGTAGTTGCGAAATCTTCGTGATACAGCTCTTTTATATAGTGAGATTTTAAACAAATGTAGTTTCGAATGAATAACTGTATAAAAATGACAATAAAATGAATATAATATATTAGTATAAATTAGTTATAAACTACCATGCTGAAATAAGTTTACTAAAAGCAATATTTGGAATTCTTTTGTCTTTCAGTCTGGTTTATATTATTTTTATCACATCATATTTATGTATGTTGCCATTTCTACACTGAAAGAAATACATCGGCCAATATCGAAAATGAAATTAGTCTTAATGCTATATTATAAAAAGAATTTTTTTGGAATTTCAATGAGAAATGGTATTTTTTCATTTTGCAGAGTCGTATATTGGAAGATGCATCCATTGCAATGTGCAATTCTTGGTCACCGAGGCATAATGTGAGTATTACCCTTCTTTATTCTCCTACGCGAACATGCAATTTGGAATTAACTCGACGACTATTGCATTGTGCTGTGTGTGTAGGTCTGCCTTAGAACCATTATAGAATAAATGATTAATGCAAACGCTAGACCGATTAATTGCATTTTTACGAAACCACGTCGCTGTAGCTTCATTTTAATAGAACAACTAGATTATTTGAGAGATCCAGACGACGCGACCAATGTGGTTATACGTCACCGGAATGTCTGTCCAATTAGACGCATCGCTATATGTGATAGTTCTGTACTAGACCATACATCCGTGAAATAACATCTTGAATTCTGTACGGAAATTCTGTACATGAGGTTTTTTCAGAGATGTCTTTGATTTAGAGTTTGTGTGTCTTCTAAAGATATATATTCTGACATAGTGAATCCAAATAAAAAGTCGCTACGTTTAAGATAAGCGTGGCATAGTAAAAATACTTATTTCAGGCGTAAACTTATTCCGCAAAATATATTTTTCGTTCGTTCAACTTTATATTAATGGTTGACGTATTTTCTCTTAAAGTCTCAAAACTTGTACTTACGTACATATTTAATTAATTATTAGCGTAATTATTTTTGATCTCTTGATGATTTTGCTTCAAAAGAAAAAATAGAACAGGGAATAATGGAAGAAAGAGGTGATGAGAGAGAAGAGATAAACAGAGAGAGAGAGAGAGACAGAGAGAGAGAGAGAGAGAGAGAGAGAGAGAAAGAGAGATTATGAGACTGTTGCTGTATACGAAATGCCCCATAATATTTATGCTTTACGGAGCCACGTAGTTACGGTGGCCTGGCTCTCACATAAACTCACTAACTCGTGGTTACGATTATGGCCAGTAGTAAATTGATTATTTAGATATACGATGAGGTGATGCAGGATAGTCGAGCGCCGTAAAAAGAGCTATGTGTCACTTATGCTCGCCACGGACGCAACAGATACCCGCAGGTGCAACAAAGTCAGCGTGACCTGTGCTTTTTGCCGGATACCTCGCTCTCGCCGCATTATATTCTCCTCTCTCGAGGAACGTACGAATTACTCGTACATCAACGCGCTTTTGGTACGTCCAATCGCGAATGATCACTCGGTCATCTCGCGGTCCTAACTTTCTCGCACTGTGCCCGCGCGTGTCGAAAGATCGATAGAAATCTACAGAAATCATATTCATACAAGAGAAAAAGAGAGAAAGGTAGAATAACGTGGAGATCAATCAATGGCAAGGAAAAATGATTTTATCTCGAAAGAAGGAGTAAGACAGAGAGAGAGAGAGAGAGAGAGAGAGAGAGAGAGAGAGAGAGTAGAAAGAAGAGATGATGAGGGAGAAAAGAGAGAAACAAAGGAGAAGGAAGAAAGATGGACAGAGAGACAGAGAAATAAAGAGAAAGACAAAGGGAGAGAGAGAACGTCGTACGAGAAGCGCGTTCTAATGAGATTTCCAAAGAATGTGGGCGGATAATAGGATAATGTGCGGAAGGATGCATAATAGAGCGCACAATAATAATAATAGCAATAATAATAATAGATAATACCGAAACACACAATGTGACATGGCGACGATAATATAACGGAACCGCAACGACGACCGAATAGCGGAAATCGATAATTCAGATTTAACAACAATAATGCGCGAGGGATAATACGTGGCAGCGGCAGCGCGGCGGCGGCGGCGGCGGCGGCGGTGGCGGCGGCGGCGGCATTGGCGTTGGCGTCGGTGGCGACGTCGGCGGCGCGCGATTCCGCGCGCGCAAGATGCGGCGACAGGGATAAAAAGACGCTAATATAATAGTATTAGCGACAATAGCAACGTTTAATATTAACGCCGTTAAGGGAGCGGAGCGTAACAGCGCTATTATAAATCGATGATACCCGGCTCCGGCGGCGGCGGTGGCGACGGCGACGGCGGCGGCGGCGGCGGCGACGGCGGGGTCGAGTCGCGTCTGCGCCACCGAGTGAAACTGAATTTGATGGTCCTACAACGAGAACCGCGAATAATGTTCTTTACTCTAGACAGTAGGTACTCCGCCATGCAAGTGATAATTTGAACAGTCTCCTCGTTTTCGTGTCAGACGTCAGATTTTCTGGAAGAATTTACTTATTCATGCGTCAGACTACTCCGTGATGTAGGTTATCGGACGGAAATAACGTAATTGTCCCAATTTGCGATATCCGATAGCCGACGGTCCAGGCACACCGCGCCACTCCGCATTCAGACCGGAGTATAACCACGACCTGATTGCTAATTAATTTCGCATACGGCCGCCACTACATACGCAACTGATCCGGCCACGCGGTGACGGAAGATTAATTCTCTTTTCTGCTTTTTTTTTTTTCCGTCCTCCTTCTTTCCTTTTTGTGTCCTCACTCGCCCTATGGACGCGCGCGCGCGCGCCCTTAGTATTGATGCTATGCTATTCGTGTCTTATCGACGCGACGCGCGGACGCTACTTGGCGGCGGTATCGATCCGATATCTCGCGGATAGCGCAGCGAGTAACTGCCGCGGGCTCAGACACGACTGGGCTTTGATCGCTAATTGATTTTGTGCACACGCTCTCACAGCGGCCGCCGCCGCTGCCGCCGCCGCTCTCTGTGTATTCGTATTGATGCGGCCCCCCCCCGGACATCTAATTTTGCATTCGTCTGCGCGCTCCGGACGAAATCGATTAGAGGTATTGGCTTGCCGCGAACGTGATTTTCCGACGAAGATTATGTCTCGATAAACGAATAATTTCGTAACATCTGATGCGGCTGAATTATTCAAGGCGCGCCGCGACAAAATCGGCTTGTTTTTGCTAACGATTCTAGTTGCCAGACCGCTCTGCCGTCGTGTTCTGCGACGATTTTAGCCTCGCGCCGCGCTGCTTTTTTAAAACTTAAAGCCGCTGACGCGTCTGTGCATGATTGAAGTATCCTTGTTATCAAGCGTGTTAATCATTCACAACAATCATGACGTCACGTCGTCGGGCCTCTCCTCGCGGATAAATTACACGGAAGGACCACCACCAGGGTCCGGTAATTCAATTGTAATTGGCTAATCCTTATGATACCACGGTGCGCCGACACCGCAAGACGTATTTAGCTCACTGGGGTCGGCCGCGTCGAAAAATGACTCTATTAACCGCGACGACGTGGAGAATCGCGCGAAGGGGAAGAAACTTTGCTAAACAACGGCACGAGGTGTTAACTATGTGGCTAACAAGAGCAATCCGTATCTCCCCCGCCAACTCCATTAAGCTTCCTTCATAGTATATCACGTATTAAATTAACCATACGGAGCGCGCGGCAAAGAAGACTCTCACTAATTCATCGGGATATGATCAGTTCCGAGCAAATTCCAATTTCTTCGGGTCAATTCAATCAGCACGATGGAATCACGGTAATCGGGCAAGCAGATAATTATAATAGCCAACACGCAATTAATGCGATTATCATTTTCTACTCGATAATTAATGTGACCTTCGTCAAGTAAACAATATTTCAACTGATCTCCAATTAATTCGGATAAAGGAAGTCGGGAAACTGCGTCGGTTCGTTGATAGAGATAAAGAAAGCGATAATGTAAGATATATTTTACCGACTCCTCTCTTTCTCTCTCTCTCTCTGTCTCTTTCTCTGTCTTTCTCTCTTCGCGTGCAAACACACACGACTACGATGAACTTCGCCTCCTGTGCGCGTACGTGCACACGCATGAAGATCGAGTGACTACGGTTCCAGTATTACGCTAAAAGAGGGTCCATCGTACGTTGCCCCTTAGCCGTGAACTGTGATTTATCGGCCTGCTAATGCTTCGATTAAGCAACACGTCTGCGTGAAAAACGTCGTCGTCGTTGGCTGGCAAGTTACTGCGGGAGGGATACCGTCTCGCATCAATATTTCCACGTGAGAGTGGTTATTTCACTCGCATTCCCACACAAATGCATATACACACACACACACACACACACAAGTACGCGCGCGACACGCTTTCTGACGAGTCATTTTATTAGACGAGCTACTGAATTTCTCTAAATTTTTACCGTTTCTTCCTGTCTCTCACGGATTAAATTCGATCTTTGGTCGCAATCTCCATTACCCCATGTGGGTTAATTAACTACGTTAAAATTATCCACAAAAAGCTTATAAGAGCTATGAGAGAGGGGGAAATGTCGACCTCAAATCGGTCAAAGAAATAGACACTGCGACGAAAGACCATCTGGTGGTTTTGGGGCACATTATATATTATACATGAGAATATCAAGGCAGATGACCATCGAAGTCACTTATAGTTCGTTTCGCTTCTTATGTATGCTATACCGACACGGCGTCGACTGTAGCAGTTATTCGTTTCTTTTGTAGTTCAGTTATATAAGTACATGTGTCATTGTATCTTACTCTATCTTTTACTCTCTCTCTCTCTCTCTCTCTCTCTCTCTCTCTCTCTCTCTCTCCCTCTCTTTCTTCTTCTTTCTCTCAAAGTATCGGGAAACAGGAGAATTGTTCGCAAAGACAATTTAATCGACTGATTTCATGAATATTCAATGACGCGCATATCGTCGCATATGTTCGGCGGGCGAAACTTGCAACTGAGCCCAAGTATTAAAAAAAAAAAAACTTGCAGATCGTCGAGCGCGAAGCGCGCCTGAGAGCCGCGCAAGTATCGGTCATGCGAGTCCATAATTGCCTTCATCATTTCCCTTTCAACTTGTCCGACGACGACGAGAGATTCGACTGTGACGGCGCGCGACACTGAAATTTTCTTTGACGCGCTACAGACTCGGTAACGTGATTTAACGCCCGGCATCCCCGTGACAACCCGATAGCACGTCATTCGTCAACAGCGACGAAACGCGGACACTCCGTTGTGGGGAAACGGCGAGATACGGGGGACTGCGAGAGGTAAATTTCGGTATCGTAGAAAGAAATAACGGCGGTTCAGCAACCTACGGACAGCCGTAGGTACGCCGTGCCCGACGAAGACACGAGGAGTTCATAAATAATCGAAGCGCTGGAACACGCCAGTGGTTTCCGCATGAAACATTGATCGGGCAATGCGGACATTACAGGTCATAATGAAATAAGTGGGCAGTGAATCACTTTTAGCTTTACTCGCCACGACCGAACTAACGATATTTTCATATCGTTCTAATTATCGCTATACTGATGCGCGTTACTCGTCAAAACGAACTCCCCACACCGAGAAAAAAAAGTTTGCTACTTGTAACTAATCACACACGGAGAATTAGTCGCTATAAATTATGGCCAAGAAAACTATTTTTTCATCAAATTTTAAGTTAGGTTAGATTACTAATAATATACTTATATGCACTAGCAATTAGCATTTTCGTATTGGAGCAACCAAAAAGCATAGTGTGGGCCGAAGATAACTATAATTTCAGTTGAGTCAACCGTTTTTTCCCCTCAATACAACCATCGATCCTTGACAAAGGATTACTTGAAAAAAAAAAAAAACAAAATAAGTAAATAAAAACAAAAGATTGAGAAAGACAAGCTTGTCGAGGATGATGGTCAACAAACGAGAACGGGAGCCTCATCGTGTTGGCGGCTAGGTGCGGACGCGTAAAAAGGAAATTTTGGTCAACCCTCCTCGCACATAACGCGCCATGAAATGAAATCACACCCGCCCCTCTCGTTACTCGTTCCGCGCTGCTCATAAATTTCACCGTAGCGCGTAGTTTAAGCTATTTTCGTTACCATTAAATGTTGACTTTGCCGAGGGGGACTGTATCTCGCCAAACACACGGAAGGGAATCGGGACGATCCCCCCGACTCCGTCCAGTTTCGCCACCGCGCCGCGGACGATACTGACGGATGTATTCTGTCCACCGTCCCCCGGGGGGGAGCCGGTCAAGTATCCATCCTTCGGATCGATTCCAGTTAACGTGTAACGGATGAATTTGATTACCGTACATCATAGAGCATGTATACGGGCTGATATAATGACGTTACCGGGCGCGGTGGGATCGTAACTTAATGTCGTGCGTTCGCGCAAATATCGCCATTTTTCCAATTATACCGCCGTTGTTGTCGTTGTTTCGCCGTGTCGGAATTATTATATGCAGGGGCGATGTGAAAGAAGTACAGGACGATTCACAACGATACACATGCCGTTCTCACGAAAATAGAAAAAAAAACGTTCAAAGAGAAAAGCGAACAATATGTGAATACTTTAAGAAATATAGTCTCAAACATGTCGCGGGAGTATATTCACAATGACACGCTTTATATTGGAACATATGTTGGAAGATGAGACAAAAAGTGCTTCGCAAAGTATTGCTTAATTACCATTTGTCGTCGAAACACTCTTAATGGATTTACCTATTAGATTTGCATAATTACGTGACGGAAATTCCCGCGAGAGCTTCATCGTGAAGCACCAGCGACAGAATTTTTGTCCGACCCTAAAACACCTGCCAAACAGCAATCCAAGTCTCGGATAACAAAACTATTTTCGGAATATCGATCGCGCACAGCCATGTTGCCGTTCGGTACACGAACTGGTTGTTGCCCAGACAATCCGCCGAACGGATTGAATTTAAATTCAATAAGAGAACTCACGTAGTAAATAACGAGTTATAGCCAAACGTACTCGCGCTATGATCATACAAAGAAGTCCAATTTGCATACAAGAATTACAATTACGTGTAGAATTTGTCCTGTATTTCGCATAAATTTTCTTTTTTACTTTTTCACGCATATAAAGCGAGAAGTAATAAGTCAACATTAAACGAATGGAAATATGACAAATCGATTCACCGTCTCTAAGACGCGTGTTAATAGTCATTACTTGAAACTTGTTTCATGTGAAATATTCAGATTTTTTATTCAAAGTTAGATCCAAGTTTTCCAGTTGAATTATGATACATGCGGTATTTTTATATCTGTAATCGTGATTCAACATTACTTACTGTCATTACTTACTTTTAATTACTCTTAACTTGGAATTCAAATTTGAGTATTTCACTTGAGACGAGTTTCAAATAATGACTATTAATATGGGTCTAAAAGTTACATGGCGGGATGTAACAAGATCTCTGTGTATTGTATAATTTTGTATTTCTCTGTGTATTGTATAATTTTTCGACAAATGATAGATATGATATATCTCGTGTTTCAGGGTGACCTGTTTGGCGGCTTGAACAGTGGTTTGCAGGATGGCTTACTACAAAGAGCGGAGGCTTTAGCAGCAGATCTGAAGCATAATTCCGGGACGCCGATGCCGCTCAAGCACGACCCCGTGTCTGTGTATCATCACGGACCACATATGCCCACCCCCCATCCAAATAACCGGCCACATCATCAGGTACAATCACATTTCCTTGTGAGTCCGCATTTATGATATATTATTCCACTATTTTCTATGCGACATATTGCACTATATAACACGTTATATATAATATAAGATACGAATGTGCTGTGAGTGTGTAAGGTCTTTGCAGACTGACAGAACTCTTTTATTGAACGCAACGAAGAGGTCACGGCAGACACTTGTCGGGAAACTGATGGAAGGATATTCGGTTTCTCAAATTTTCATAGTATTATCGGCATTATATTCAACAATTACTCGTAGAAATGGTTATGTGTTCGAATGCGCCGGCTTCTACACGGGTTCCTCGGCGAATCCCGCGCGCGTTCAGAGGAGGAAATGAATTTTCACTCAGTTCCCGACAGCGTATAACACATTCTCTGTTATCTCCGTTATATCTCCGTATACTCCGCGTTTGCGTGGCGCGTAATTCGCGGGAATATTAAAGCAACGTTGCCCGAGCTTACTCTATTCTTCGCCTAAAAACAATCTTGATTGAGGAGTAATAATTTCACGAAAGAATTTTGAAGCTAACCAACAGCGAAACTCATCATCGAAATAATTGGCTTAACATATCTGCTGAGTTAATTAATCACGCTGTTAAAAAGAAAGTAAATATTAATAATACTATATGGATTACATTGTAAATTACTTACATAAATTACCTACATAATGGAATGAAAAAATTCGTGCTAATGAAGTGGTATAAAATTTTTCCCTTTGGATGATTTTTTCTAAATATGATAATTGTGTTCAGACATTCAGGCTCGTATTAATAGTCGTTACTTGAAACTCCTCTCAAGTGAAATACTCAGATTTAAATTCCGAGTCAGATGAGAGTTTTCCAGTTGAATTGCGATTACACAGATATGATGTCGCATATATTACGTAATAAAAAATCTGAAAAACTGGATCTAACTCTGAATAATAAAAACCCGAGTATGTCACATGAAACAAATTAGGCGATAGCTATTATTACAGCCCTTAATGCTTTTCCACAAATCCTAATAAATGGCCGATGATAGAGACTGTCCGTACGTAGAACAATTATTGTAACAAAACGCGGCGGGAGGAGAGAGAGGGGGGAAAGAGAGAGAGAGAGAGAGAGAGAGAGAGAGAGAGAGAGAGAGAGAGAG